ACGGACTTCTTATTACACGGTATTTAGTAAACAGCTCATAAGTTCGTTGTGCAAACGGGTATTGATGTAAATTTTGTTATCGACTGTTATCTTTTAGACATGCTTGATTATATAATAGCTGCCTAAGAACACGTTTGAGCTGACTACTGTGTCGCGCCAATTTTTGAATAAGGTATCAATGTCCTACATGTCATTTCGTCCGTATTACTCCTACTTCAAGTTGTATTCCTTGGTCTCCATACAGCGCGATACAAAAGGTACGATTTGTACCAACTCTGAGTCTCTCATAGCACGGATCCCATACTGCACTATGTAAGGTTCCATAGAACGCACTACGAATTAGCCTGAATTGTATGTTAAATACGAGTTTCTTATAGCACGGTTCCCATACTGCACGGTACGCACTTTCCGCGTAAAGCGAGGGTTTACTGTATTTATACATTCATGTATCGATAATTTTTTGATACGTTTTCTACTGAATGATATATCAACCAATTTTGAATGAAAAATATTTTATTTATACTGAGAGTTTGAAATCATTAGTTTTAGGCAGGTTTAATCGTTTCGGCAATTCATTAAAAAACTCAAAATGAAAACGAACTCAATTTAGTAAACTTATTGAAAATATTTATTTTATGTTTCATTTAGCAATCATAAGAATAATTTCATCATTTTAAGATAACTTTTTAAAGGCATAAAGACCAGCATGTTGTCTTGAAAAGTAATGCATATTTTGATTGACAATAAATATATGCATACTATAAAAAAAGAATAATTTAAATCAAAATAACCATTTGCGGAGGAAAAATATTTACTCTTCAAAATTCACACAAAAATGTTTACTAATTTATAATTTTTGAACAAGAAGTTTACATTTTATTTATTTATTGTATCTTCATCATGTAATATTCTTATAATGATCGTAGTTTAATTTTTGTGATTGATTGCATTCATTGATTCAAATGGACTATAATGCGTTTAGAAACATCATAGTTAACTACAAATCTATAAGCCCTATTTTAGTCGCTAGAATGAATTCTTACAAATCTACTGGTGTGACAAATATATACCTCAAAAATATATTGATGAATTATTGTTTCAATATATTTCAATATAACTGAATTCATTTTATGTACAATACCAAAATAGGGCTTACTACAAATACAAAAGAAATCAAGCAGCGTTTGCAAAATAGATTTGAAGTCCATTAATGAGAAGTCCATTAGTCAGGCATGCTCAGGATCTTCCAAGGTGCGGCATTCTTAAAAATTTCGAACTACCTGGCGGTAATTAAAAAAACAATTAAGTTAATAATCAAACTACAAAAACAGTTCATTGCAAAACGCCAGGTAGTCCGGAACACTTAATGTTTTTGTTTTTCTTTAAAAGCTTAGCTGTTTTTTATCCTCCCCCAGATAGTATAGTGTTAAATTATTATGAGCCACAAATTTCTCAAACTCATATTTGTATTTTTCTGCAGAAGTTTGTTTTTCTGAAATTATTTTTTCAGCTACGTCAAGTCTTTGAATTTTATGCCAGAACTCCGAACAAGTTTCAGAGTCAACCTCTAAATTACATACACTTTCAGCAACTCCTAAACCTTAGCAGATTTTTTTTGCCTTTCTAACAGTTATTGGCTCTGTTACTAGCCTTTCTTTCATACGTACTGCATAAAACCATTTTAACAATACTCTATCTAGCTGTTACAGTTTTGGTTTTTGGTTTGCCTAGAAGCCAATATTTCAAGGGTTACCAACCAAATAGCAAACCTTATCTGTTCATCTTTTTGTTTTTTAGAATATTTCTATTCTCGCCCAAACTACACTGAAAACTTCCGAATAGTTGCCGGACTATCGGGCCTTTCGGACTGTTGGGTGTCAAACCAATGGACTTCTACCGTAATTCTCAGTCTCAATGTCTCTGGTCGTTTGAATATTTCTAAACAACATCCTCCTATTCGCATATCGACTTCTGTTTCCTGCCCGACACGTGACTGCACATTAGTTAGGTGTTCTCTATGCGCTCACAATGGCGCTTAGTCTTAAAACATATAACACATTCTTAATACATGCGAATGTCGACGTTTTTTTTCTGAGAACTAACGGTCCACACACATTGAATCACATTTTTTTTGGAATTAAACAGTGTTAATTTTTTGTTTGTTTTAAGATTTTTTTATTTCATTTAATTTAAAAAAGTACATTGTATAAATTCACCACATGAATATCTTTCTTCATTTGAAAATAACAAAACAATTATTTAATTTATAATTCATAAAATATATCTACTACTTTAAATTTAGGTGATTTTAGTTATGTGGCAAAAATATCACAAAAACCATAATTAATATATTTAATTACATTTTCACTTTATGGATGGGTCAACTGTTGGGTTACCATCTAACAATACTATTAGGTCGTTTGTCCATAAGGAAGAAGTTTGAACTCAACATTTTATAGGACGTAAAATTCTGATCGCTGTTAAAAATTTCGAACAAAAAACTTAGCACTTTTTGAATATGAGAGAATTTTAATAATGATAACCATATTGCAATGTTTTTATTATATTATTTTATAATTACGTATATAATAACGTATGTGCGTTGATTTACTAATTCTGCAATATTATTTATACAATTTTTTTTTATTTTCTTTCATGATCGGTAGATCATTTATCCCCATAATGCAAAAATAATTAAACAAAATATTTAACACGTTCGCGGACGTAAATGTTAATAATTAGTGCTACTAGTAATTATTTTTATTGTGATGCAGGGTGGTATGAATGTTACAGCATTCAAATTCTGAAGTCAATTATTTTGAATTTAATTTTATATAACTAACTGAAAAATAACTTACTGATTCTTTAGGTATTTTCATATTAGTTTTTTCTCATATTCATAAATTAGCCTGGGCAAGCACATTGCATAATATAGAAGCGTAATACTTGACGCGGATGCTATAGGATCTATCGCATATACCGATTGAAATATGATAATCTGATTACCTTTATAAACTGCGTTTAATCAAATTTCGGATATAACAACCAATTTAAAAATAAAATGAGTGTCAAGTTCTGTACCTAGCTGAAACGTTTACTGACCGCGAACGAGTTGATACTATATACAGAAAAGAATAAAGAATGAAAGAACAAGCTACAGAAAAAAACAAGGCTTTTTTAAATTATAAAAATCTTAAATCGTCGCTGCACTTGAATAGAAATTGTACCCCTCAATATTGAAAAAAAAGAAACATGCCGCATTGCAATGTGAACGGACCCCAATAAAGGCACTTGCACAGTGGGCGACTTTCGCAGTATGGTACGGTACCGTTGTGAACATGTGGAATGTTTCAACTCTATACGACTTTTAAAACTAGTGGTGTAGGATATTCTGCATTAAGAAAAACTAAAAAGTTTTTTTAAAAGAACTCAAAAATTATTGAATTTTTTTTTTTTTAATTTAAACAGAAATTGAAAACATTGTTTTTACAAAATCGCAGAATTTTTGGAAATTTTCAGCAAGTTATATATTTTTTTAAAGGAATAATTTTAATCAATAATTTATCAGTATCAATAGTTCGACAATGTTGTCGCCATAATCAAAATCGTTTGTGTCTCCTGATCATTTTTGTGCATAATTTTAAATACTCACTTTTGTCTCTGTGATAGCCATTATTGCACTTCATTATTAGTACGAACCCTAAAAAATATTATATGTAAATTTAAAAAAAATATTACTAGTCGTACGTAGCATTTTGCCTTAAAGCAAGCTACATGATCTTCCAAATAATCCACTTTATCAACAATTAGAATTAGCTATTTAACTTGATAATAATATTGCAACAAAAAGTTGCTACTTATTAAAAAGGTTAATAACCATTGCTGATCGATATAAAATAACCACTATTGTTGATCAATCATTTTTAACGGTGATTGATTGATATTCATGACATCTTGGGTTACTATTTATATGAATTTTAAATAAACTTTTGATGGTTTTTTCATATTTTTTTTTTAATTGATCAAAATTTGGATTGGTAATTGCAGAATACTAGCCGTTTTAGTGCCATACATTTTTTTCGCACTATGTACGAAAAATGCCAAGAATAATTACTCTCTGGAATTGGAGTAAGAAAAAATAATGTGTAACTTTTGTCAAAATGTTACAATCAAAAAAAAAAATTAACATCATTTTCTAGTTGGTTTATTTTATGAAAATTGGCCAAAAATTTAAATTTCCGCAACAAATCAAACAGTTTTTTTAGAGAATCAAACTCAAAAACACACTGACGCGTGAGTCGCTATCGCGCATTAGCCATTTTAGTGCTAGAATTTTGCACTAGACACTAGTTTAAATTTTTATCCAATTAGAATCGGAGTGATTTGCAACGTGGGTAAGACAGACATATATCAAAATGATTTTCGACTTGCACACGTAAGTGATTCAAGACCTAAGGTATAATATGCTAGACGTGTCGAGTGGTCCCAAAGGATTTATAAACGTCGTGGAGCACTGAGTCCACAGTCGCACAAAGTCACTTGCAACCGGCAACAGGCAACACATTTGGGTCTTTGTCGAGCACGTGCGGAATGTCCCTGAAAGGCAGAAGAGTGCCCAATTAATATTTAGCTTCTTATTCATTTAGTATGATCAATATCTCGAGCCTTCCAAGAATTCAATCAAAAGACAATTCAAAACTTTAACACACCATTTCCTTCCTTTTTGTTGTCCAATGCTAAAAAATTTTTTTTTACATGCAGGTTATTTTACCGTGCATTCGTGTGGCGCCTGCTTGTCTATCGCAA